AATGTTTAAACTGGCAAAGCTTACATGAGTTTAGTTTAAACACAGATATCAACGTGTGCTGTTCAGGTCGCACCTGTGCGCGCGCGCGCGCGCGCTATCAGCACGATGACGGAATAAACGCTCATATTCCAGCATAAGGCACTCGCATTGAACAAGAGTGAATGGTTTGTCCACCCGTTTTTTTTTTTCATTGCTGTTGTTGTAATGTACTGGGAAGCCAGAATGCGCATCCATCAACAGAAACAGCTGAACCCTGTTTGTTTTACGTGTTATTTATAGCAAACCATAGGCCTATTACAGATGCGTTGTCAGATTTAAGTTGAACTGCGGTCCTAGCGCCTGCCGAACCGTGTGTGGAGAACCGTACGGTTCGATTTTTTTCCACGAACCGTTCCACCCCTAATATTTTCGTAGTTTAGTCAGCATCACAGTCAATCTTAAAAGATGTTCAGACACAGAAAACTGATCTCGATTGAACCATCACACTTGCTGACCCAATCAAAGTAATGAAAGCAAACAAAGCAGACAAACCTCCAACAGCCGTAAAAACACACAGCAGCTTCTCTAAGACACTATCATTTATTTATTTATTCACTTTTTAACGCCATGCCAGCATCAAGGCTATTTTCACGGCGATCTCAGAATAAATTACACAAGATATACAATTACCAAAAAGTCATAAAAGACATTGCAGATCTACACTAGACCAAAATTCTAAAATTCACTCAGGTGATACATTCTTAAATAAATCGTAAGACACTATAAAGAGAGCGTCAGACTCACCGCTGCAGCGCGTCTGAACACACGGATGCGAACCGTCCACCGCATGGAGCTGCATGATGCACATCCACATCCACCAGAGACAAACTCACACTGAAGCCCCTGCGTTCCCACACACCCCGAGGGGGACGGGCCCGAGCGCCGCCGGTCTAGACTCAATTGTCTGAGCGAGTCAGTTTTGAATATGAAAACAAAAAGAGTGCGAGACAGCTGATGGTGCGAGGACGTGAAGTGAGCCACGAGCGCAGAGCCAGACACAAACACACATTCATAATGACTGACTGTGCCAACACACACACACACACACACACACACACAAAGAACAGATCATTCACTGCTAAAGCATCTTATCCATCTGCTACAGCATCATTCTCACCAAACAGATACATTTATATCTCTTTCAAAACATTTGCCAACTCTGCTACATTCAAAATGACTGGCAACATTTAAATGTCTTGCATCAGTCACTACACAGAATACATCAAAAAAATATTTTCTGTATGATGTTATTTCTATCAGCAGTTAAAGCCTGCTCACAACAATAATAACAATATTGAAATATATTAGCATCCACAATAATGTTATGTTTATTCTACTATTACTATTAAAGTAATAGTTTTTTTTTTTGTAAATTATAAATATAAATGATAAACATGCAACAAAAAATGCACTAAATATTTAAATTTTAAAAAGTTGCTTTGGCAACTAACTGAAGTTTAATTTGAAATTTACTAAAGCTAAGCTAAAATTACTAACTGTAAACAGATTAAAACACTAGAACCTTAATACTAATATTTACAACAACAATAAAAAAACTAGAAAAAGAGATAAAATTATTATAAATGAAACCAAAATGAAAATAAAAACAAATGATAAAAATATAAAACTAAATGCTCATTCGAATTACTTATGAAATCTATGATAGTATGCAAATAAATAATACTAAAATAACACTGATTCTGAATGGGTGTCAAAGTTTTTAGCGTTCATCGGCTGGGAAAAAAGTAATTCCAGCAATATTGTTCCTTTGTGTCGTTATAATTATAATGTTATGACAAATATTTTTTCATCAATGATGTATTGGTTATCTGTTATGAGCTCTGGCTTCGGTTCTGGTGTTTCATACTTTCAGCAGAATCGGTAAAGAAACAACAACAAAAGCATCAGTCGTTTGAGTCGATGAGGCTGTAATACTGACACTAT